CGGAGAAAACGGGTTTTTTTAAGCGATGTCAAACGAGGATGAGAGGAGGTGAGCTTTAAACCACGGAGGAAGGAAAGATAGGAGAGGACATGCCTAGCCGACACGCTATACGTGAAAAGTGTGGAGAAAGTGACATAAAGGTGGCCATATTTATTGGGCACAATGGCAGCGTTGCTATGGTTACGTGTTGCGCAGTGTAGCTGGTCTAGCAGTGAGCGGCCGCGACTGGCGGTGGCATGTGTGCCTCTGAAGGTCTCGTGCTGAGCCGTGGCGGACAATATCTGTGCTCTGCGCCGCGTTGTTTGTTACGCAGTGTTCTCCTGGCAGTTACTGTACTCTTAGCAACGTTTACAGAACCTTTCGTCCAACACAGGGCCTGAACAGTGAGTGCGTAGAACGAGCGCATATACACGTGTCGGGCGGCGGATGACGCGGAGGAAGCATTTGAAGTGTTCAGTGAAATTGCGTTGGGCACCATAACGAAGCAGAACAGCGACGAACGCCTTGCAGGTCACTGTCGGTAGGGCATTGCTCCTGTTTGTCGCAATGGACTAAACTGTTGTTCCCAGCGAGGCGCTATGAAGACCATGTGACACGCGTAGTTTCGTGTTCGGTATGTGTACAGTAACAACTTGCATGTGCGTAATGAAACACCTTTTCTGTTCCGCTTGTTATACTCGCCCCCAGCATTGTAATCTCATTGCTAGAGCAACCGCGTTCAAGTTTCACTTGCACCGTGCTCAGAGTCACCACGGTGCCAGAATGCCGACGCCGGTGAGTCTCACGTGGAACACGGGCACAGTGGCCGGGAGATGCGTCGGCCTCGTTTGGGAATGCAGTCGTAGAAGAAGGCGCACGACCGAAAGTGATGTCTGTACAGTTCGTGAATTAATGACGTGAAAACACTCGCCGTTGTCAGTGCATCTAGCGCGCGTTCTCTTGTACTTGCTTCGTTGTCGGCGAGCTGTTACTCGCTCTTAATACTCAGACGAAATGATTTCGCCGAAGCTGTCGCGCTGGCCCAGACTGTTGAGTGCCGTACCATTAGTTTCGGATCGTCACGATACGCGCGCTGTATAGACCACGTGCTTTCCGAGCCGGAGAAAGTGTCGCGCCTTCTGCTTTTACATTCGGATGTAAACAAGAGAGGATAATTTGCTCAGTCAATATGGCCGACTTCCGGCTTCACCACGGCTTCACGAGTGACGTCAGGGCCTCTCCTAAGTTTTTTCCTTCCTCGATGCTTGAAACCTTTGCCGCACCTCCGCGTAGCCTTCGCAAGCCAAATCTCTTCCCCACCCGCTCTGGCATCCGACCAAGAGGTCACGTGCACATGACGTGCCCAAACAAGTCCAACCCTCGAGCACGCGAGCGGCGTTGCTTTGTTGACCAGCGTTCTTTTGTGGGCTTCTGCCTGTTTCTGTAATATGGTTTGGAAACGCTGGCTTAGACCCGGTAGAATAGACGAACACAATGAGAGACTGGCTCTCTGGATTTCGGGCCCCGCGATCTTCAACAACAGCGCAGCTCTGGCCGACTGGCTCGCCCTACGCCATCTCCTGCCGTCGACAAGAGCTCTCGCTGAGTGGTGCCCCGTCTTATGTCGTTCGCTGTCCCTGCGCCTCCCTCTCTCCTTCCCCCTCTCTATCTCTTTACCTTTATTCGTATCCGTCTAATCCCTCTTTACCCCGTCCCTCGTGAGCTATTCTAGAGGTGTCGCACTCTGATGCAGACAGTTACAGGGCTCACTTTTTAGGGGCGAAGCTCCTTATAGTGGCATCCGTTCGTCCCTCGTAGTCGTAGTCGTAGTGTGTAACCAGTCTTACGTTTTGACCTGCAAGGTGGTGTCGGTGAGAGATTTCTCTTGTGCGTTATTGAACAGTAAAAAATTCATACCGTGCGCGTTAACTAAAAGCCAAATTCTCCTGTCTCTCATTCTCTATTAGCAGCCATTGGCATGTGCATTGAGCACTATCTAACAAGAAAGGGTTGCTACGTTATACTCGCCCGGCGTAACCTCCTAGGTTTTAGAAAGGTTTAGCGAGCGTTGAGCCGCAGTGCCATGAATACAGTGAACTAGTATATACCATGAAGTCGAGGTGGTTAAAGGTGAGAAGTAGACACGAAGCGCAAGCCACAAGAAAGTGTTCGTATGCCACCTCTCGTTTAGTCCTTGGAATGTCCGCTGGATGGCTGTGCTTCTATATCGGGAATATATGATGAATAGATGCGAGATGGTGGTACTTGGAGTGTTGAAAAGATGGATGAACGGACACACAGACAGATGCATGGACGGAGTCATGGATGACTGCACCGACGGATGGACGCATGGACGGACGCAGAGGCGGATGCATAGACGGACTCATGGATGGCGGCACCGACGGATGGACGCATGGACGGATGCAGGGGCGGATGCATGGGCGAACGTGCGGACGCACGAACAGACGCACGCACGGATGGGCAAATGCACGCGCGGACGGTCACACAGACGGGCGCATGGACGTACGGAATCAAGAATGAATGAACGGACGAATGCTTCGCCCCACTCTCCATCATTCACTCGGTGGATATGCTGCCATTTTTTTCTTTTTTTCTCTTTAAGAATCAGATAAGAGCACAATGAGAGCGCGAACGCGTAGGAGAGTTCCACGGCAGTCGTCTGCTCGATGTTCTGACTGCGGGTACACGAACGTACGCGAAACGCCGACACATTCGCCCCGCATCTCGTTGAAATTCACAGGAGAAAAATGGAAAAAGGACGCTCACATTTCCTTATTGCGTCTCATTATTTATCTGGAGCTTTATTAATTTCTTCAAGCAACAAATACATAAACTACGCATGTTGTGTTAAAAAAGTTTCGCCATGTCAAGTGTCACTGTTTGCAACGTCAGAGCAGCGTCGTCTACGTGGAGGATTTACGTCACTGCATTGCCGTGTACGTAAGGCCATTCGTACGCGCATGTCATGCCCTCATTCTCTGGGTGCGCGCAGGCAGAAGGGGGGGGGGGGGGAGGAGCAGCGTTTATCTTGAAATTTGACCCATTTCCGCGCGTAGCGTTGCAAATTTTGGCAGACGTGATGATCAACGCCTCGTCTACGCATTGCACTTCTCAGCTGAAAATTGTCAAACCTGGTAAGTGACCCTTTAAACGAGTTCCTCTTTCTCTGGGCAAGAAGATGTCTGGTGAAACCATCACGGGAATACTGGCGCCATCTATATTATACTAAGAAACTGCACCTGCTTTTGGGGTGGCAATCTTAGAGTTGATGTAGAGACTCTAGAGGAAAATCTTGGCCGGAAAATATATAATCACTGAAGCGCTGACATGTGGGAACGCGCTCTCATGCATATAAGGTAAGGTAATGATGGATAACATAGGTACTTAAAGATTATGTGAATGCAATACGTGAAGTGCAGCACGTCACAGGGTCTGGAAAAGAGAACAACACAGGCGCCTGAGTGGCCCTTCTCTTCTCCTGTCCCTGATTCGTCCTGCCCCCACTTCTTGCATTCACAATGAACTGTTATCAATTAACCCAAATGGCTGTTTTGCTACTTAGAGATTAGGCGTCTGAGAAAAAAAAAAACAAATATACTGGAGCAGTGGAGCTTCATGTACTGTGGACGATCAGAAATGATGAGGTAATTTACTTTTGCTATTTTGCCGCACGTTTCCTTGCACCAAAAATAGCAACACCGGCTGTTCCAGTGGACCACCCCTGTGTCTTCATTCACGCTCCGTACCTTCTTTCACACTTCACGTAAGGGACGTGTTACTGTGAAATGAACACATTTTGTTTTGAGAGAACACTTTGTCGTGTTATATACTTAGTTACTTGTGGTTTTCTGGCATCTTGAAGGTATCTCAGACCTTTACGACCCATTGTGGTCGGAAAGCTGTCCGGCTTCCAACAGACCACACGTTTATCAATCACTAATACTTATTAATAAAAGAGGAAGAGACGGCGTTCTATAATTTTCGTGAAGCACTAGCAGTAATAGACGCTTTAATTGTGTGTCTGCATGCCGACACATATGGATAAAAATACTTCTGCACTGGGCAGTCAACACATACCACCAAAGCCGAGGTTACATTTACGAGGTGATGTTCTGGTGCCTTTGACTGACGTGATCAGTTTTTAAGTTACTCAAGTTGCCCCGCCGGGGTGTACTCGACTACTGAACCGCATTTTCGATGGACGCAGAAATGCTGTAGGCCCGTGTGCTCAGATTTGAGTGCACGTTAAAGAACCCCAGGTGGTCAAATTACCGGAGCCCTTCACTGCGGCGTCTCTCATAATGATGTGGTGGTTTTGCGATGTTAAACCCCACATATCATCAATCAATCAAGTTGCCCAAGTTTTTTTTCCATAACCTTTAAAGGGGCACTAAAGCAAAATGATTGTTCGCGTATTTCACGACCCCCCTCCCCCCCCCAAAAAAAAGAAAACAATCTTACCGCGTCTTGACTCTTGGCAAGCTAGAAAACGTGCACTGCGAAACTGCGGCTGGAGGCGCTATCTTGAGGTTCCTGCAGCAATCACTGTGATGTCGTCAATTTTTGAATGCGTCTACTGGATTATACGTACCTTCTGATCAGTGAAGTTGAAGTAAATTATAATCTGTGGGTGCCATTGACCTAGCATACGAAGTATCATTCATCGAGCCAATGTCGCGAAAATACGAAAGATACATTGTGGAATTTCTTATGTGGCGTGCGAAGAATTCGGGGCAAAATTTAAAAATGAAACTTCAACGTTGATTTTCTCCGCTAATAATTAACTTATTACAGTGAAACTTCTGACAGAGTTCTCAGAGTGCAGTTTATCAATCTAAATTAACAAATTGTTTCTATTTAGTGTCCCTTTAAATCTCACAGCGCGTGCCTTACTTGCCAGACTGGCACAACTTTATCACCCTGTGGTTGACGCATAAAAGCCTAACCGCCTGCGCTGCGTTTCTCTAACTGACCACGCTTTCTGCATGTCTCTTCCACAGGGGGGCGCCTCTGCTCTTTTTCGCCGTGCGTGGAACAAGTGCAGCGCACTTGCGAGGCGCTGCGTGACCGCGGTTTCGTGGACGTCGTCACGTTAGAGTGCCTCGAGCGGCCCTACGAGATGAAGCAAGTGTTCATGGCCGACATCCGGGATGCGTGCAGGGTACCATCCGGGAAACAGGCACCGAAGAAAGAGGTAAGTGGCTAGGATGTGATTTCGTGGTGGGTACGCCACATAATCTTGCTTCTAGGAACCAGTATGAATAATTTACTTTCTGGAAGGGCGGACAGTTGGACTACAATTAGTTGGTAGGCTGATGTATCGGGATTTGACGCGCTTAACGGACCCTGAAATGATTTGACGATTCTGTACACACACGCTGAGCCGGTAGACGAAGTTCCAGGGGTCATTTATTTATTTGACCAATTTGATCTCTCTGCGTAAACTGTGTAATTTAATGCAACGCTTTCGCAGCTTTTAAGTTTAAGCCTTAAAGCTGCGAACCGCTGCGACCCGGCCAAACGAGTTTTCAACCGCCCATTCACAGAGCGACATGCTCTGGCCACTTTACATCATCGTGGTAGCTCGTCTGATTGACTGTGGAACGCGTCGCACAGGCCCTGTGAAGGCGGAGCTCAACCCTGAGCACGCGAAGTAAGAGTTGAGGTTGTTGAGGGTGAAAGGCGGAGCGGAGTAGGAAGGTACCTATTTATTTCTCGTAGCTCCGTTAATAAGGGGGGGAGGGAGTTCAATTGAATTATGGTACCAATGACTCACTTCAGTATTGGTCTAATCAAAAACAGAATGCGACAAACCAGTTTCAGGGACCCTTTAAAACGGACTAAGAATGAGAGGTGACGTAATGGAGCGCTCCAGGTAATTTGGGCAATCTGGGTTTAATGTGCACAGTATACGGGCTTCGGTTATGTCACCTTCGTCGGCCACAACTGCTGTTGTTGTTGCTGGCATATCTTATGAAGCTAGATCTACAATTTTATCCTCTCGTTTTCTAGAGTTGATATTGTCACGTGGTTCTAAGGGTGGAAGAAAAAAAAATTCTCAAGCCGGTTAAGAATCAACTGTCTATTCGGCCAACTTTAGGCGGAAAGTATAACATTCAGCGCTCAGTAATGTCGGCGAGAGCAATCATGATTCATCGATACTATGATCGTCGGTAAAAGACGACGTATTTTATACATGCAGTCATTGAACATTACAGCATTTAATTCACGTTAACTCCTGAATCATCTCAGCTACTTGGCTCTGCGCGCACTCTTTTCAGAACAGTCTAAAACAACAGCAAAGTTTCCCAAACATTCCAGCGCTTGCGCCGAGTGATAGTAACACGCTTGAACACCTTTTGTCGGCGAAGCCTGCATGATCGCATTAAAATAAACCAACTAGCACTCGTGGCATCACGAGCGAAAATTGTTTCTCCTTTTAATTGCGACATGCCGAAACCCCATACCTAAACGCGACGTGCAATATCTCCCAGCATGCGACGGCCAAGACACTTGGAACTACAGAGGGAGATGCAATGACCGGTGTGGAGGAAGCCGTCCGAATCTTCTAGTCGAAGGCGAAGGCGGAGCTGAAGGCGAAGCCAAAGCTACCGACGATACGAACCGAGGCAAGAAGCGTCGCGGCCACCAGGAAGACCTGGGTTCTGCGAACCAGGTTTTCTGCTTCCAGGCGGCCATACCTTCCTTGCAGATTCCGGGCCACACGGGATACCTGACCTTCGCGACGCTACTGGCCTCGTAGCGGTTGTCATGCGCTTCAGGTAGGAGAGGGCAGGGTGGTTATCTCTCAAAATTAAGCCTTACGATCGTTGCTGAGAAAATACAAACCGTTTTGTTTTCGTTGCTAACATAATTTTGAAAATTTTCTTCTGACATTGGTTTCATGATTCTAGCTTCTCAGCAAGAGTACTGCAAATCTGTGTTTTTGGCTTCATAAGTGAAAATTCACACTTGAGTTTCCAAGAAAATTTTGTTAAGTTCTAAGCTAATTACATGGGTACACACCTGCTAATTTATTACAGTGGCCTGTTTTGTAAATTATATACACTTGGCAAGCATGTTGAGGACTTCACCTGCTTGGTCCCACTTTCGAACATGTGCTGTGCTGCTTTGATTTTCACTGTCGATCTAGGAGGTTCAAGTATAGGTGACATGTGAAACATGGCAGGGATTCCGATGCCCACAATTTTGTCGGGCGTTCTATGTATTCAAATGAGTAGTCTTTGAGATTGGTAGTTCGCAAAGAGGGAGCTGCTACCAAGGCACGAAAGTGGGCAGCGCCGATTGCCATATCGATTGCGAAGTTACGTCACGCCTTTTTGTGTTCCAGTATTAGCAATATAACTGAGGAATTCGGTGATGCATATAAATCTAAAACTGACGAGGAAAAATGCGACAACAACTGTGTTCGCTGCTTGCAGCATTTTGTTTCGGAATAAATAGAAATAGAGCGAGTTTTATTGCGCTGTGCCTTCTATGGCGTCGGGATTCAGTGACTGCCGGTGATATTTATTATGTTTTTTTTTTTGTTTTTCAGATCACAGAGCTGAAACAGGCATCACCACATCATAATAAAAAAAAATCATTAGGCACCCGCTCTCGTGCTTTTTTTTTTTCATGTCTGCATTACTTACAGGCCCAACTATGAATTGCACAGTAAACATTTGGGGTACTTTCATCGTACAATATTTGTAAGACATCCTTGCTTTCTAAACCTTCCTTGGAAATTCAGTGCAGTCGGCATGTGAGCGAGCTTGATCTGGTGGCGTCCGCACTCCACTGCGCATGCGCCTACTCTCTCCCACTCTCCTCCCTTACGCAGGCGTTCGGTCACTTCTCTCCTCGGCTGGCGCTGCTTCCTGTGAACCCACTCCTTCCTCCCCTCCCCCATTTCATATAAGCGCGTGCGCTTGGTCGGCTGGAGTCATTCTCGCTTCGCTCCCGTTCAGAGGAGTTGTAATGTCAACCTTCGGCGCCAGTTGCAGCAGTACTCCAATTTCTCTGCCAAGGTTGCCTTGGAGCAGCAGCAGCGCAGGGATCATGATGCGGAATGCAAACGCCTCCGCAGGCACAGTGAGTCCAAACTCTAGGTAGGGAAGCGCAAGCGAACCCTCGGCGTCGAGCTACAAACGCCCGAGGTCCGGAACGCCGACGTCGAAGCAAAGTGTCGGCGTCGAGCTACCGCTTCCGCTCCAGAGAGACAACGCGAGTCTGCGGCGAGAGTAGCGAGGCTTTCGAGACAACTGTAGCGACCGTGAACACTAAATACAAACCGCACACACTAACAAACGCCGAGTGAACGTAAACGTAATCTTGGTGTGCACCCGCAATGCGGCTTCGTATCCCCCCATGGTTCCCTTTAAGGGAAGATGGGGTATTTTTTTTCCTATCAAGAGGAGGAGAAAGCTACTTTAATGACGCCAAAGTGGGTCAGGTGAGGCAGGGGGATTGCGTCAGGGAAGAACAAAACGATGAGCTTTCAGGCCGCACTAGGTGGACGAAAGTACCGGCGCTTGGACGGCCCCTATGACCCAGCGTACGATCCGGAGTTAGTCGTCCGGTCGTGAGCTGCGCAAAGCAGCCTCCCATCGCTCTTGTCGCTCAGCCCCTGCAAAAGGGGAATTCGGCTTGTTTGGACAAGCCGAATGGAAAGTTGGCTTCGCAGATTCGAGCATAGGACGAGTGCTGCGCCCGCCATTCGTAATTAGAAAGTACCGTGCACGTGGTGTTCAAGCATGCAAAGACATGCGAGGTTGATGATGACTGCTCGTTGTGAAACAAAAACATATTCTGAAGGGTGCAACGGTTTTGCTAGAGTAAGCTACACTGGCCGAGATTGAGCAATATCGGGTAGCATATTGAGAGCCGTGCTGCGCATGTCCGAGGAGACAGTGACGTCACACGGCACCCAGCTGGCGCACCGAAGAAGGCCTGGAAGCTTCCTGAAGTGATGTGTCACTTCTGGGCAGGCACGTGTCATGCGTGAGCTCGATCGCAAGTCTGCCTTGCCCGTTCGTCCGCAGCTGCATGCTAGGTATATCCTGGCATAGCCGAGCTAAGCTACTAAGTTTTCTTAATGAGCTCACGCCATCAACCGTTGATCATCACAGTTCTGTCTGATGTCGTGCAACAAGCCCGCTAGCCATTGATATCTGTGCACTCAGGTCGCACTGCGGCCACTACAATACAACCGTCACAATTTAAAGTGAAAACCGCATATGGTTTATGAATTAACCAGGGCTGTTCCACTACTGTGAGGATAGATGCCTGCAGCTTCGGTTTCAAGTCGTTTTCGACCGAAACCTTTCGTCCTCCGAGCAAATAACACGCGCCCGTCTCATAGCAAGGTCAAAGGAAAACTGCTCATAATAACGCCAGCTCCATCTTCATGTCACGAGGCAAAGGGCCACACCCACCATAGTGCTTTAGTTGCTGAAACACTTCGCTGCTGACCCGCAGATGGGGGAATCGAATCCCGGTCGCGAAGGCCGCATTTTTGATAGAGGTGAAAGTGCTTGAGGCCCGTGTGTGTAGTTTCAGGTACACGTTGAAGAACTCTAGGTGATCGAAATTTCTGGAACCCTTCACTACGGCGTCTCTCGTAATCATATGGTGGTTTTGCGACGTTGAACCCCAACAATAGCTATCAGGCAAAGGGCCGCAGCTGATTGATGGGAAGTGCCGCACCCGAGAATTGCTGTACTTGTGAAAGAGGCATGAGTGGTGGCGAGGGAGCACCTGTGGTGAGGTGCGTAGAAAAATTTTCTGTGCTTCGTTCTGCCCCGCGGACGTTTTGTTGAGATGCCCTCATGTGAGAGACAGTTATCGAGCACTTCACACCCCATTTTCTTACCTTTCCGTCTCTTCCTAAAAAAAAAATTCACCCCCTCCCCTTTCCGATCGCGGACGCGATCTTTCAGGACATAGCCATATACAGTCTCGATGTAAATTTGGCGACTGGCGTCGTCGCCCTCGACAGGGATAGCAGAAAAAGGCAGTAATTGAAGAAACACCCAAGTGAGACAATTGGTCTGCTTTGGTTGGTAAATTGTACTCTGAGAATTCTAATATTAATTTTACCATCATAGGTAATTAATATAGAAAAAATCAAGGAACTTTTCTTTTTTAAATTTCGTGCCGAAACTTCTGCGCATGACGTCATGACTTTCAAAGTGCACATCTCGCACTTTGGCGGCATTGGCTCAATGAAATTTCCTGAAACTTGGTACGTTGTGTTCATGAACCCTTGGGATGACAATGGGCTTCATTTTTCATCATCACCATCAGCTGGACTGCGTCCACTGCAGGACAAGAGCCTCTCCCATGTTCCGCCAGTTAACTCGGTCCTGTGCTTGTTGCTGCCAATTTATACCCGCAAACTTCTTAATCTCATAATGGAATAATTGGAAGCGCAAATTAACGGGACACAAGAGAAGAGACAAACAAGCGCAGACTGAAACTCAGTTTATTCAGAGAAGAAATTATATGCCAGAAAAATGAGCAAGGGAAACAACTGAATAGAAGGGTCCACCTTGATCAGGTGTCGTCCAGAAACGATATTTCACAATCTAACAGTGATATAGACGGTGAACTGACACAACTATCAATATTATTCTTAATGAAATAAGGCGTTCTGCAATCTCTAGTTTTCATGTCATGATGGCTGTATAAGACAGATGTGCGCGAAAAATCAGTTACGCAGCCACACTTTTTGCAATGGGTGGACAAATGAAAATCCGGGGCTGATTTCAGCGCATTGTAGTGCTCTCGCAGGCGAATATTCAAGCAGCGCCCAGTCTGCCCAATGTATAACCTGCCGCAAGACATTGGGATACAATAAACGACATTAGATCGACATTTCGTGAAGGAATTAACATGCTTGACACCACAACCTTTCTTCACAAGACCTGCCTTCATTCTGCTTTGTAATTCCATTCTAGAACACATTTGCTGCAGTTTTCTACGTGCGGAAAACACAACGTTGAGGTTGAATTTTTTTGCACATTTTTTTTTTATCTTATGCGAAAACTCGTGCACTTATGGGACTACTGCAAACTTACGTCGTTTATCTGCCTCTTTTAAGGGGCATCCCTTCCCTTTCTTCATACGCAGTACCTTCTGAGCGGTGTCCGCGCTTGTTTGTCGCTTCTCTTGTGTCCCGTTGGTTTGCGCTTCCAATTATTCCATTATGAATTTGTACAAGCTAGCCCGCCTGTCCACCCTACTTCTTAATCTCAACTGCCCATCTAACCTTGTGTCTCCCCCTAACCCGCTCGTTTTCTCTGAGAATCCAGTTAGTTACCCTTAATAACGAGCGGTTATCCTGTCTATGTGCTACATGCCCGGCCCATCTCCATTTCTTCTTGATTTCAACAATGATATCCTTAACCCCAGTTTGTTCCCTAATACACGCTGCTCTCTTCTTGTCTCTCAAGGTTACACCTACCGTTTTTCTTTTCATTGCTTGCTGCGTCGTCCTCAGTTTAAGCTGAACCCTCTTTGTGAGTCTCCAGGTTTCTGCTCCGTAGCCAAGTACCGGCAAGATACAGCTGTTATATACCTTCCTCTTGAGGAATTGTGGCAATCTACCTGTCATATTTTAAGAGTGCTTGCCGAATGTGCTCCACCCCATTCTTATTCTTCTAGTTACTTCAATCTCGTGGTTAGGCTCTGCGGTTATTACCTGCCCTAAGTAGACATAGTCTTTTACAACTTCAAGTGCACTATTACCTATCTCGAAGCGCTGCTCTCTTCCGAGGTTGTTGTACATTACTTTCGTTTTCTGCAGGTTAATTTTAAGACCCACCTTTCTGCCCTCCTTCTCTAACTCCGTAATCATCAGCTACACTTCGTCTCCTGAGTTACTCAGCAATGCAATGTCATCGGCGAAGCGCAGGTTACTAAGGTATTCTCCACTAACTCTTATCCCTAACTGTTCCCATTCTAAGATTCTGAAAACCTCCTCTAAGCACGCAGTAAATAGCATTCGGGAGATTGTGTCTCCCTGCCTTACACCCTTCTTGATTGGTATTCTGATTGGCTTCATTTTTACCAGTTAAGAACTGCAGATCACCTAGCAAATGCTGTCAAAACTATGATGTCATGGCATTGGGTGCGGAAATTCGAGGTTTGCGTCGTTACCCGCACTTTTTTCGTGCGTTTTCTTGCGATGAGATTAGCGTTTTAATTATTGTGAAACTGCAATTTACCAATACACGAGAAGTCTTATTTCTCTCAAGGGTCCCTTGAACAAATGACGCGTCAGAGCGCACGACTTTCGCCTGTGCTTTCTTCGGAGTTAGGTAAACAGACTGCCAATATTGCACAATTTCCTGTGTTGGAAGCACTGCGCCAAGATAGCAATTGTGATACATATGCTGCGTCACACGGCTGTTCTTGCGCATGTTGCGCCACGCCTGAGCCGAGGCCAACGTGAGCGTTCTGTCCCGCACTGAACTATGGTCCAGCCGCCAAGACAATTTTTAGCCGCTGCTAGTGACGCGAGCTTGGTGGACGACGTGCAGTTCGGCTTTGTGGTTCGATGGTGCGGATTGTAGTGCGGTATGGTGACGGCAGGCTCTCTATTCTTGGTGA